TAATTTGAATAATCAATAATTTAATAATTGAAATAATCAATAATTCAAAGGCTTAATTAGATAATTGCAAAAACAATGCTGTTGACGTTTGTAGTATTTTAATGATGTATTTTGCTGCCTTCGGGATTGTCCTGAAGTAAATCTATCGTCAAATCAACACTTTCACTTTAGTGATTTGTGTCAGGCATCAAAATTGTGAATCGAATCAGAAAACTATTTCAGAGAATTACTTGAATCGAGAATCAAAATAATGGTGCGAGTTAGCAATTTAAAAATTTGATGAATCAATAATTTAGTAACTTATTATAATTTAATTTTTGGAATAATCAATAATTTAATAATTCCAATAATTCAAAGCCCTATATTGATAATTGCAAAAACAATGTTGTTGACATTTATGGAATGTCCTTTGCTGCTTTCAGGATTCTCTCAAACTGAATCAATCTCCAAATCCACAATTTAAATTCTGTTATTGGAACAAATGATTTGAAATTCAGGGATCTGAACCAGGTTTCACGGGAGTCAAGGTAGAGATTCTCATAAACGAGTTACTTCAGCGAATCACATCAAGACTTGAATCGAGCTTCAAAACAATGGTTCGAATTCACGAATCATCTTATTGATTGAAGTCAAGGATTAACTTCCCATTGTTAATGGCTTGGGGAGAGGAGTTATCGACAATGTTAACTTTCATCAATCGAGAGGTTCCCCAAGATGAAATCGAGTTAGCATGTTTTAGATACTAATGAATCGATATTTAATAATCGTAATGGTAGTTACGTCACAATACTCCTTCACCAGAATTTTATCAGGGATAGAATTCGATGAACGGATACTACTAGTTGTCGTATTTGCGAAAGACCTGGAGAGCTGTATTAAGTTCCCCGGATCTCGAACGTTTGTCGTGGGAGCTGTATTAAGTTCACGGCAGTGTATATGGTCTCTCCTGTGTTGCTATTAGCAGTCGAGTGTGTGCAGTATCCTGTTGTGGGTTAATGAGATTGAGAAGCAATCGCGCTAGGAGGAGGAGGACGCAGTCACAATTAGCACAATATGGTTCATTCATCAAAGTGGCCGTTATTTTAAATGTAGGCGATTTCATATCACTTCCGCAGGTCATCAATGTGGGGAGGGAGTTATCGACAATGTCAACCTTCATCTATCGAAAGGTGCCCCAAACTGAAATCGAGTTAGTATATCTTATATACTAGGGAATTGATATTTAATAATCGTAGTGGTAGTAACGCCACAGTGGAAAATAATCAACACCTTTTCTGTCTCCTTTAATAAATTCTTCAAGAATTTAAAAATTGTAATTTGTGACTAAACTCAAAACTGCAAAGAAATTAAATATTCTTTTTTTTTCTTAATTTTAGATGATCATAACTGGTTTCTATCAAAATCTCACCTTCGTCTTCATCAAAGACCACCGCCTGTTGTTCGTGTAAAAGAAGGCGATAGTGAGTTTTTGGAATGTCAAGCTGGTGGAAATCCTCCACCCCGGATATACTGGCTGAAGGGTGGAGAAATGATGTCAAAGGTAAGAATACAAAATCAATTTCAAGAAATGAACAAATAAAATTTTACAATGTGTCACAAAAAAACAAAAAGAGTTTAATTTTCTGAATTTTGCTTCGGAAATCATAGAATTTCTTCGCATCAAGTTTGAAAAGTTTTAAAGAAGTTCGTCAACAGATGGCTCTGCTGGATAAAAAGTATAATCTGTTGTTTTCTATCGCACATCTGACAATTTCAACTAATATATTTTTGGACGTCAGATGATTTTGTTCTCACACTGCTCATTAGTGTTGCTGAAAATAATTTTTATTTTGAAAATATTGTTTGAAAGGGTTTCTCAGTTAGAAGCGCCATCCTTTGAAAATGATTGATGATTGATTTGTTCATTTACGTCGCACTAGAGCTGAACAATGGGCTATTGGCGACGGTCTGGGAAACATCCCTGAGGATGATCAGAAGACATGCCTTCACAATTTTGATCCTCTGCAGAGGGGATGGCACCCCCTCTTCGGTAGCCCGACGACCTGCGCGCGAAGTCGAGCACTTTACGGTAGCACAGTTTAACGAGGACCAATACCGCACACCCTCGGTACCTACACAGACTGATCCAAGTTGTCACCCACCCGCACACTGACCGCAGCCAGTGACGCTTGACTTCGGTGATCTGCTGGGAACCGTGTCTTAACAATCAGTCCACTGCGGGACATTCTTTTGAAAAACTTTATAATTATTTAAAGTTAAGAGGGAATAAATTTCTTGCTTCCTAAGCAGAACACAGCAAGCCGTATATTTCTATCCTCTTCCATTTTTCTTTGTTTGACTAATCACATCGTCGATCACATTTAAGACGCCTTGTAGGTTTTTTTTTTATAGATATTTGTGTTGCCTTCGATAAGTGCTATATTTCGGCCTTTAATTGACAAGTGCATAAAACCGGCATATGACTAGGATTAAAATTCTTTGAGTTCCAACTGACTTATAACGTGAAAGTGCTAAAAACTGGATTTTATGAATTTTCCTACGACACTTAGGTGTCAGCTTTTGCTGCACAGTTTTGTGTGACTGATTAATAGAATTAAAACATTATATTTCAGATTAATTTGCAAGACGAACTCGACATAAAAGCTTTCGAAGACAGCGAAGTCAGTGGCAATAAACTTCAAATTTCTTCCACAACTTCAAGGCTTTACTTGGACTGTCTGTCCATGGATGATGAGGGAGATTACACTTGCGTTGCTGAAACTGCAAAACTCAGAGAGAGTACTTCCACGAGGATATCTGTATCATCATCGGATGAGAGAAAATGTCATGACAAGTCCGTCTTTGGTAATTATTCTATATTTCTCGTTCATATAAGGATGTAAACTGATTTTTTTAAATATTTTATACTATTTTATAACCGTCGTTGAACAGCCGACCCAATTTTGGGGTTTACAACCACTAATGTTCAACTCCGTAGCCTTGTAATTCTGAACCCAATCCAGATCCTGGATCAAGTATTGGGAGAAATTTGCAGGACTTTTTGATGGAACTAACCCACATTTGCGTTACATGGAGAGGAAGACCACGAGAACCTCCCACGGTTAGCTTGACGGCAAGGGGACTCTAACCTATGATCCGTTTACCACTGAGGCTGTTTCACGTCAGCACTGTGGTCGGTGCAAGCCGGAAGCGGAATTCGTATCGACCAACTATCGTATCGATTGACACTGTAGCGTAAAAATATAATAGCACCATCATTTATAGAGTATCATTTATATCTGTAGCTGATACTGTAAATGTTAAACTGTAGTTTCAATGTTGATTTGCAGCACTCGTAATCCCTTCATCAGATTGGACACCAGTGTCCCTTTTAAATATTTTTTCTCACGCTCTAATAACAAGCAAAAATATATTTTGGTATTTTTTTAATTATAAAAACAGTCTAATAGTTACTTAAAAAAATCTATTAGATTATCTGTTAGATTACATA